CCAACACGTCCTTTAATCCCCCGGCACCAACTATCCCAGAGACTACTTAAAGAAACTATGTCCAATGATTGAATTGAGATCTGATCTTGATTCTGAGTCAAAGTAATCATTTACTCTTGTGTATTCTATCATCTACCATAATCTTTATCCTGCTTGTATGGGAAAATATATTTTCTCATTATCAGTGATTGTGTTTCCTGTAACAAGTACTTTGTAGGAAGGAGCTAAGCTGTCTCAGTGCAAGCTTACCTTACTGTTGGGCTTGCACCTTTCTGCCACAAACAATGAGACAGGAAATTTTATTCTGAACCCCAAAATAGAGATTTCTGAAGAAGTGCTGGTCAAGAAGGGGTGTTCTAGGGACAGCTAGATGGTGCAGTGGATAGAGCACTGACCCTGAAGTCAGGAGGACCCGAGTTCAAAAATGACCTCAGATCAAACACTTGACACTTTACTACCTGTGTGACCCTGGGCAAGTCACTTAACCCCAATTGCCTAAAAAAAAGGGGGGGGATGTTCTGGCCAGGAGTTAAAGGGATGGTGAGTGGCAATTCATTTACATTCCCTTTCCAGCAATATCAATGTTGATTTGATTGCTGCTTCCATAGCTAAAAGTGGGAAGGATAGGGAGCTGAGTATACATGTTGCGGCACAGCATGAGGATAACTGGAAACCAGCAACATGGTAGGTATGAGGAGGTTACTATGGCAAATGCACACAAATCAGGAGGAGGAGGGGAAGAAGAGAGTTATGTGCTTGGGTGATCACCACCTAAAGCAATCACATAGAAATTTCTAAGAGTAGTTCCTCCCCACAAGCATCAGTTTTCCTGCTAGCTAAATTTTAACTTGTTTTGTTTTCTTGCATTTAAGTAGAAATCCTGATTCTTGCCTTTCTTCTGGTCAATAGTTTAACAGGGAAAGATAAAATTTATGTTCAATCGTTTCCATAGTAACCATCTCTGATTCATCTGCTTTCCCTTACATACCTATCTTCTTTTAAAGAGACCCTAGCCCTGTCTAGCTATCACTGTTTAAAAATATTGTACTATATAGGCAAATTAAGAATTTTTTTCAACAGTAATTTTGACTATATGTGATTTTTGCCTTATAAAAGATGCCAATTTTTAAAAAAGAATTATGTCACAAAAGCTAAAACCCAGAATGAGCAAAGACTTATGAAAATCATAAAGAATACCAAAAGGGCTTTTAAAAAGCAATGTTTGAAGACTAGAGAGAGACAGAAAGACAGCCAGAGAGAGAGAGAGAGACTTTTTGTTGAGCAAAGAACTAGAAATAAAGTAAGTGCTTACCGACTGAGGAACTGCTGGACAAATTATGATATATAAATGGTGTAATTTTATTGCCCTGTAAAGAAATTTGTGGGATAGTGACTTAAGGAAAATGGATAAGGATAAGGTTTGCTCAAATGAGCAAATAGCTCACTAGAAAGTCAACTGGTAAAGAATTAAAATATTGCTGGACAACAACAGGACCTAGATGATATTACATTGTATGATTTATAGTGGATCCAATCCACTATACATTCAGTGTGATATTGAGACTTCCTCTAGCAGTGCCTAGAATCCTTGGGCAGGGACATAAAAAGGGGATAATTGAGGTTTCCTCTTGATGGGGATTAGCAAGGTGGATACAACAGGATCAAGACTGCAGGATGCCCGCAAAAGCTGCTGCTTCTGCTGTTATTGTGGATTCTTTGTTTTTGAAGAGGAGCAATGATATCATGGGGTGATGTCTTGATGTGCTCATGAACTGAATTTAAGTGAGGCAGAGTTAGCCTCATTCTCTCTTCCGAAGTCATGGCAGTTCAGCGGCAAGACAAAAGCCAAGACAATTGGCAATAGCCCAGGATGCTCTGTTAAAATGATTGACCATGATCTTTAAGGTCTCTTCCAGTTTTAAAATTCAGGTTCTGTTAGTCTTGATTTGGATCTTCGAATAGGGGCAAGACACCTCTCTTACACATTTCAGAACATTTTCCTGGAGCTCAGCATACTGCTGCTTTTCCTCTCCAAGGAAAACATAAGCACAACTTACTTAAATGAAGATATATAAGCTATTGACATCCACATAAAAACATACTTGAATTCTATGTGAGGTCTCTCTATAATGCTAGAATCACATCTCCAATGGCCCACGAGACATCTTCACCAAGAAGTAGCACTACTAGTTCAAACTCAGTGGGTCCCAAACGAAACTTATTTCTACCCCACTCCATCTCAATCCCCTCCTTCTAACTTTACTCTTTGTTATGAATATAGTTATCCCTTCCATATCTCAGAGGTTAGGGGCATGGCATCCCTCTTACCTCCAGCAATCTGGAAAATCCGAGTAAAAGTTTTTTGGCTCTCCCTTCGTACCAAAAATAAAGTCTGATTTTTTTCTTTCTTTTATGGGTTGTTTATAGTACCTTATTGTAAAATTTGGGTTTAGTATTTGGTTATAGGTTCTGTGTCATCTGTGGCTTCTGCAAACTCCCCCGAAATTCCCATTTAATATCTTATGCCAACCTGAGATTATATCGAAATTGGAACGGGAAAGTCAAGATATGGAAGGGATAACTGTATCTTATTTATAGTAACTGTTTCCCAAGTTGCTCATGCTTGAAACCTCAATGGCATCTTTAACACCTTTCTTTCTAGAACCTTTATTGTTAGCCACCAAGTCCTAGCAATTATTTTTTTTAGACATTCTAGTGGTACTGTGGCATTTCTCTATTCTACAATAGTCAAATGGCCTGGGCTCCCATTCTATGGTCTCTCTACTCCCTCTGTGCTGTTCCACACCATCCTACATAAAGTAGTTTAATCTATGAAGATTACATTTTAGAAATTTTTTGTTTAAGGCAATTGGGGTTAAGTGACTTGCCCAGGGTCACACAGCTAGTAAGTGTCACATGTTTGGTCTGAGGTCAAATTTGAACTCAGGTCCTCCTGACTTCAGGGCCGGTGCTCTATCCACTGCGCCACCTAGCTGCCCTGAAGATTACATTTCAGAAGAAACTTTTTTTCAAGGCACTCCTCTGCTCAAAATTTTCATTGGTTCTCTATTAACTTCAGAAAGAAGTTGTAACTAGTTTGCACTCTGTAGTTACCTTACCAGATTTCTCTCCTACTATTTCCCTTAGTGAATCTTCTGTTCAAGTCAAGCTTAGTGTTCCTTTCTACAGTTTGTACTCTCTTTTCCATGCTTTCGTTCATCTCATGTTTCTCACTTGACATTCTCTTGCCCTTCTTTGCCTATCCAATTCCTACCAACCCTTTAAAGCCCAGCTCAAGTATCACCTCCAGCCTACAATGACCTCTCCCTTCTCTAAACTCACAGGACAATTTTAAAAATCATGAAATGCTAAAGCTGAAAGGGAATAGAGAGTTCATTTATCCAGACTTTCTCATTCTACACTGCGGCCTCAGGAAGAGAATTGGCTCAAAGTCGTTTGGTTAATTAGTCACCAAGCTCAGATCTCCTGACCCTTAGTCCAATCATCTATCATACTACACTGCTGACTGTTTGCTCTACCCACTAGTAGCCACACAGCCCATGAAAAGGGATGGGGCTGTTGCCATCTGGGGGTGCAGGGAACCCCAAAATTCAAGGGCAAAAGGTGAAGGCCCTGCCTCAAAAGAATTCAACTCAAGCCTTGTCAAGAAAGTCATTGTCCACAGTGTGTATGGAGGGGAGTAAAGCATAAGAAGCCTGAAAAGGTAGTGAAGGGCTTTAAGAAGAAGGGTATTTTGTATTTGATCTTGGAGGTTATTAGGAAGCCGCTGGAGTTACTGAGTCAGGAAATGACAAGATCACGTCTCTAGAAAGATCTTTGCAGATAAGTAGACTGGAGTGGGGAGAGACCCCAGTGGGGGCAGGGAGATCACCCAGCAGTCTCTTGCAATAGTCCAGGAGTGAGGTGATACAGGACCTGTACCAGGACAGAAGCTGTTTCAGGGGAGAAAAGTCATTGATGAGAAGATAATATACCCATTTTAATATTTATGTGAAATTTGCCCTGTCATTCTGTGGTCATTGTGGTTCAGTACAAAAAACATGGAACTTTCCTGATGAACTCAGAAGTTACAGAAGGGGAGTTCACTTTGAAACTCTGCCATTTACTACCTGTAGGACCTTGAGTAAGTCACTTATAACCTCTCTGGGCCTTGGTTTCCCTGGGGAAGTGCTGCAGGGTTCTGTCTTCCACCAGCTACTGTTCAACAATTTTTTGGACACATTGCTTTGTCAAATTGACTTATGATATGAGTTGGGAAGAATAGCTAAGACATGGAAGACAGAACTGAGAAACAGATCCAGAATGGCTGAATGAGTAGAATCAGTTAAGTTTAAATTTAATAAACGATAAATGTAAAACCCTGAAACTTCCTTTTTAAAAAAGTTTTTAATTAATGTCTTTTTTCACGTTACCATGATTTTCCCCAGTATTCTTCCCCTTCCCCGTCAGAGAGCCACCCCATATAGCAATATTTTAACAATGTTTTAAAGACAAAACAAATAAACAAGTGAATGAAAAGAAGAAAAATAATCAGCCTACGCGATCAAGACATGGAAAAAGCATGAAAATATGTGCAAAGTACACCGCTCGTTGCCCTCCCACCTCTGCAAAGGGCCTGGAGGGGGAGGGGGGTGGTCGAGCCATATTTTAAACTTTGGTTTTGTTTGTTTGTTTGAAATCTACAGCAGAAGTGCAGGACAACAGGAGGATTATGAGAAGGCCACAAAAGGCCAAACAGAAGTGCTCAGGGAATGTTTCCGAGGAGTCCACCTTAGCGAGGAAGTAGGAAGTATTAAAACTTCTCAAGTTAACACCCCCTGGGCTGACTTAGAAGGAAATTGCCTCATGGAAATCACGTGGCGTCACTTCTTCCAATTGAAATTTAGCTGTCGCCGCGTTCCCTGATCCCCATGGAAACAATCACCGCCCCTTCCCGATCATCCCGCCCCCTCGGTGGTCTGCGTAGGCTGTGCTATTGACTCTTCAAGATGACAATCAAAAAATCCGCGCTCGTTTTGGAAAGACCTGGCTGAAAGCGCTTCCTTCTCTAGGGAAGCTCTACCTTTTGATTCGTCAGGAGAGCCGGGGCCTGGAACCAATCAGCGGCTTCGTCGGCTCAGCGGCTCCACGTCGGCACCATCTGCGGGGCAAGATGGAGGCGTTGATTCTGGTAGGAGTTGGGGAGGCACCTGGGACACTGGGGTTCCTGGGGAGGCCTGGAGTCGAGGCCAGTCCTAGTCATGGGGAGATGGGAGCGGGCGGTGGGAAGGGATGGTCAGGAACCTTCTCTAGGGGACTGGCATCGCCTCGTATGCTGCACGGCATGTGCGGCCTAGTGCCCTGGCCGAAGCCTCGGACTCGAGTAGAAGGCCCAGCCGGGGAGGGAGCGCGCTGGCAGGAGGGTGTGGATAGGTCTGGAGCCGTGATGTTGCAGGGAGAAGCAGGAGGAACCCCTGGAGCAGCTCTGGTCTTCAGGGGACCAGGATTAGGCTCCCCCCACCCACGCTCCCCGCCCCACTCCTCCACTCCCTAATAGCACTTCTCATCCCGGGGGGGGGGTGTCTCCATGTGACTGGGACTTCTCGGAACTCCCTCCCCAGATTGTGAAGGGAGAAGATCTTGTCATCATGGGCTCGCTGTTGTTCTTCATGCCCGGGCCAACGGCGTCTGGGTCTTCCTCATTTCGTGGGTTTTTTTACCATATGGAGTTTCTGCATCTTTCATACTTAAGGCCTTGATTTCAGGCTTCTTCCTATCTTTATTCTCTCCACCCCATAATATCCTTTATGCTTCTCCTCTTTATATATGAAGGGCCTATCGCTCATACACGAAAATTGGCTCTTCTGCCAAAAGTGCAGTTAGTACAGGTAGTCTAGACTTCCAGAGCTGTTTTTTTCTTTGTCTCATTCCCCATGATATTTGTAGTTTCCAGACAGATAACCAAGCCAACATCTTTCCTCTCCTCCAAGAGCTTGAGTGTGTTATCATGTACATATGTTGGGAATTTTCCTTTTAGAGCTGAGCCACTTCCCAGAGAAGCATCAAGCTATAATCTAACCTCCAGTAAAGAGAAAAACTAATCTGTCTGATCATCCTTGGGTATCAGAACACCACATTTCCACCCTTTTTTCCCCAAGGTATTTAGTCCAGGGGATTCCTGTTTCTTTTCATGACATAGCTGTGAAACTTAGAGTTTGATGTTGGAAGAGTCCGAGCAGAAAATTTGAAAATTGAGCTAGGTTTTTTTTTTAAAGACTTTATGCTCCTTGAGATTTGAAGGACATCTTTGTTCTTAACTGGTGAAGGGGTTAACTTCTTTCATAGAGATCTTTAAATATTAGTTGTTTTCCTGTATTACTTTTTAGAAGATGTCTTTCTTGAAGGACAGGTGAAAATATGATACCTAGAGGGCCCTTTCGAGAGTGTATATGTGGTGGTTGAATAAGAAGGCTGAAATTATTGTTTTTTCGACTCTGACTTTCCTCAGTACCTCTCAATTTGTTGTTTTTCTGATATAGCCTTCCTCCTGATCTGTATTTCAGCTATTCTAGTATCATAGTAGCAGTAGGTGTCCCCAGCCCTTACTCTGGAAATCATTCATCTTGTTATTCATATATATACCTATGTGATAGAGGCTAAAAGAGAAAACTGAGGTATGATAAAGAGTTTATCTAAGGAACACAGTAAAAATAAAATTATGAATTAGACCCCAGTTTTACCGCACACCTTCCTTTCCTAGAGCTGTATTCTCCCTTTTATTTAAATGGTCTTTCCTTTGAGTACCAGTACGTCAAAGTCATCCTCTCAAAACATGAGTTCTTTTGGAGCTCATTATTAGCATGTGGTGTTCCTGGGCATTGTAACAGTTTTCTGTTCATTTGGTCATTAGTTTCTTCAGTTTTTACCAAATTTTCCTTTCCTTGGATTAGAGATTACCACAATATTCTGCTCTTTGCATTAGGTTTTAAAGTTTGAACTCCCTTTGGAATGTTCCCTCTTCCTTGTTCTCATAGCCAAGGTTTTCCTTTCCTGTCAGGGAATATCCTCCCTTTTTTGCCCTTAGTACTGCCATATACTTAACAAAATTAATTCATGTTTTGCTTTTTTCACTTTAGAATCCCTTCATCAGATTCTTTTGATTATTGAATTTGATTCAAGAAATATTTACCAGTAAGAGTAAGGCACTGTTTTTTCTCACTGTCTCTAATGAGCAGCACCATCTGGTCTTCAGAACGCTCTTCTGGATCAGTCTGTGGTGCTGAGCTAAATAACTGTCTTACCTGGGTAGTGTTTGACAGGCCACACTACCTGGAAAGGGCAGATTGCTTTCTGAACTCCCTCTGCATCTTACTCTTTCACATTACTTCCTGGTTTGATAGTTGAGGGCCCCAACCCAGCATCTGGAGAAACCTTTGGTTCTTGACCTACGTATATCATATCCTGTCTGTACTCCTATTAGCACAGTTTTTATGTGGTTGTTCAGTCATTTCAGTCATGTCTGAAAATCTTCATGACCCCATTTGAAGCTTTCTTGGCAAAAATACTGGAGTGGTTTGCCATTTCCTTCTCCAGCTCATTTTACTGGTGAGGAAACTGAGGCAGACAGGGTTAAGTGACTCACCCAGGTCTTCCTGATTCCAGGCCCAGTGCTCTATCCACTGTACCATCCAGCTGCCCCTCCACAGTTTTTATAGGGTTTGCTCATTTGGATGGACTCTGGACCTAAAGTCAGCAAAGGATCATTGGGCAAGGTGCTGTCCTGGTTGTGGCAATTTCTGATTTGAATACACTCCTATTATTTAGGATTCTATCTGTGTTGCCTTTCCTTATTAGAATATTAGCTTTTTGAGAGCAGAGACTATCTCATATTCCCAGCACTTAGTGAGCACTTAATTGATGCTTTTTCATTCATTCATTGTTTTTATTCATGGAAATCAAAGCTTTGTAGAATCCTTGAATAACAGGGTCTAACCTCCTCATTCTCAGTAGGAGTGTGTCTAACCTACACTAGATCATCTTAGGAAGGAAAATCCTCCCCCATTTCTGGTTCTTAACAATTCTGTTGGCTAAGTCAATGTTGTGATTAATCACTGCTTGCTCAGCTGCTAATGCAATCCTTTTCTTTTTGTTCTGATTGGAAGAACAGGTTTCTGTCTCCCATTGATAACCCTTCAGACCCTTAAAGATGGCAGTTCAGTTTCCTCTTCCTCTCCCTCTCCTTCTAAGCAGTGAATCATCTTTCTCATAGGATCATTGGTTTAGAGTGAGAATGTACCTTAGCGGTCATATAGTCCAGTCCCTTCAACTTGCAAACGAATAAACAGGTCCAGAGGGCCTTCCTCTGATTTACACAGGTAGTGAGTAGCAGAACTAAGATTTGAACTTGGGTCACTGGTTGCAAATCCAGCACTTTCTATTGTACCACACTATCTTTTGGATTCTTGTATTTAATCGTTACTCTACTCTTTTTAGTATCAGTTTCTAGACTTCCAGAGCTATTTACTCTTTCTCTCCCCATAACAGTACTATAGTCAAACAGTTAATAAAACCCAAGGTTTGTTCAGAAAATTAGGCCATTTAAGGTCAGTGAAGACGTGTTATATAGGGAGGAGGGGAACTGAAAACAACTCAGTGAACTTAAGGGTTGATGTTAGTCTATGCACCTTGGTTCCTGAATCATCTTGATGGGTTTTTTGTCTAATTCCTTTGGCACTAACAGTGGAAGTACTTGGCCTAGAGGACCCCTTCCCCTGATCCAGCAAAGGTATCAATTACATTAAGCCCCCAAAGCATTCCCATCTAGTTCCTGGCAGCTCCCGGTACCCCTCTCCCAGCTGTGTCCTTGCTGCTGCCGGGCCTTTCCATTTAGTTAGGAGAAGTAATCTCGTCGCTCTCGCACCGTGGAGATATATTTCTTGGCTGGGGCGAGAACGGTGCCAGCACTGCCCCCGGTGAGGTCCCTGGCAGCCATAAAAATTTTTATTGTGATTATGCTGGTGTCAGGGTGTCCATCTGGGTTATTGCACACCTAGTTTAATTGATTGAAGTTTAATTTATTGACACTTCAAATTAAATGATCAGAATAAACTGTGCTGTTACTCTGACCGGCTTGTTTTAATGGTTGATTGCTGGAAGCAGACCTCAGCTTGAACTAAAGCCCCTGAAGAGCAATTGATGCAGCTTCTAACTCTCCTCATGCCTTGCCCTCCGAGAAGACCTCGTTATAGATTTCCGACGTATTTATATATTTTGTTCCCCTCTCCCTCGCTGTGGTGGGAAGGAGCCGGTCCCTGGCAAGGTGTAAATTACCTCAAAGGGCCAGGGAAGTAGTCACATAGTCAGAGGAGAGAGAGAGAGAGGCCTCTAGATTGGAGAAAAACCGACTCCGAAGGGGCCAGATCTACTAGTAGAGGCAATTATCTGGTTAATTAAGACAGTCTAATAGCTTTGTCTGAATTATCCTGGGTTGGTGGGAAAGGTATTGGAGGCGCCACTAGTTGAGAGAGAACAGGGAAAGCCAAGAGAGAGAAGGTAATTAAGAAAAAGATTTGGGCTTGGAATTATCCCCATGCTTACCGCTGCTTTTCATTTTACTCCTCTTATATAGATATGATCATTAAGAGTTACGGTTTTTAACAAGGAAAGTTGGGGGGTAGTCAGTGAAGTGCAGTATTAATAAGTGGCTGTGGAGAGACAATGAATCAACCCCTCCTATCTGCCCATGTTAGTTTCTGTCTCCAGTAAGAATGACAGAGGGCTGGGCAGAAGTTGGAATGTCTCATGGGGTAGTTGATGGATTTGGCTCATGAATGCATGCCAGCCATCATATCCTTGGGCTCATAGGGCCCCCCCAAATCATCTTATTCTTATCTGCAGGTAGAACAGCTTTAGTCTAGATCTCTTATTTCCACTCCATTGTTGGACAGACTTTCCCTTCAAAATATCTTCCTAGATCACCAACTTATCCAACCTAAGTCACTCCTGTTGCAGTTGAAACTACTTTTCTCCTACTGTTTCTCCTCATCGTTTTCGACCACTCAGGTTTATGATTCCATGCAAATTTATGATAGTTGAGATGTTTAAGGTGATCTCACTACCTACGCTGTCCATGGCAAACAAGTTTTCGGAGAACAGCTCTTACCTCTGTTCTTTCCCTAGCCATCAGGAGTC